TATCCGGTTGGTGAAACAACTTATATAGAAGGCATTATCCTTCAGCTTGATTCTTCTCCTCCTCTTGCTAAAGCTAAATGAGTTGCCTCATCAAGACAAGTGCTTTGAGATTCCACCAAAAATGGAAGGTAGGCTGGCTACACTTGCGGCTGAGAGACTGGGTCCTACTGTGATGAAGGAAGGAAGTATTTCTTTGGTGGTGATTGCTCCTTCTATAGTAAATGAATTTTGTTACCGGTTGCTAGGAAAATTGAAGTGGTGAGATGGCCAATAATTATTTTCCTAGGGTTGCAATGCCCAAAATGACGGATAGTTTAAAGTTTTGGGTATTTAATTCAAAACTCTACACCCTTTATGTAGACAGCAGGATTATGTGCTATATTAGGTAATTCTATAGTGATTTCTTCATAAATTCACTAGGATAGAATATACAAAGTATTAAAAAGGTTGATATAGATGAACCAATGAGAATATAGAAGGGAATTCTTGCATGATCAAGGAAATAATTATTTGATTGGGATTCCCATGTGGGGTCCGACGGCTACTAAATCTCAAAAATCCTAAGTTGGGACCACAAACACAGTTATCTCCTTTGAAAGAAAACCTAATCAAATAGACAAATTAGACAAATTGGTATTACGATTTTAAGTACATAACTTAAATAGGGCACTTTATATTACCAAATAATAAAGAGAAAAGTGTGAGAATGGTCCCTCGACTATTTGCATTGGGGTTAAGAATTAAGGTATTCTTAGAAGTTATATTTTTTGTTTTGATTTTTCGGTGATTCTAATCTATCACTAATCTTATTGTAATTCCATTGCAATGAAATTTATGGACTCTTATTTTTGTGATAAGATATTTAATTTTTAAATTTATATATTGATTTGATTGTTTTTTTCAAAAAATTAAAATATAATTTTTACAATAAGTATGTAATAATTAGAAACATGTATAATTGTTGAAATTCATAATAATACGAAATATTTTTATTGAAATGAAATGGGGTATAAATAACCCTTACATGAATCCTAGAACAAAAAAACAATTAAAAAAACAAGAAAAGATTATATAACACCTAATATCTCCAATTAATCAATCCATATTAGTTAGTTGAAGATAAAGTAAACAACATAAAATTGAAAAGAAAATAAGTCTAATCCTAAAAAATAAATCTAAAATAGGAAAGGAAATAAAATTATATTAGGAAATAAATCTAATCCTCGTAATTTCTAACAGGAATAAATTATTTCCTAATATAACTTCTAACACTTCACCTTAAGTTGAAACATAGTTGAAAATCATGTTCAACATGGATTTGAAAACATCAAACAATGGGCGAGAAAGATTCTGTAAAGTAGAACTTAAATTCCTCATCTTGTACTGCGGTTGACTTTGGCTACAGTTACTGCAGTGTCTGTAGGTAGGCAGAAGGTTCCTACAGGTAATGTCGCAGGAGACTTTGCAGGGAAGCGGACAACTGAGGTTGTCTTTAACTACATTTCCTACAGTGTTTGTGGGTAGGCAGAAGACACCTACAAATAATGTTGTAGGGGAGTTTACAGAAATGTAGACAACTGCGGTTGTGTTTAACTGCAGTTCCTGTAGTGTTTGTAAGTAGTTGGGCTCCTACAGGTAATATTGTAGGAAAGTTTGCAGGGAAGTAGACAATCTGCAGCCCCACTAGTTTATCGCGGTTGTCATTGGTTGAGGAAAAAAATAGATAAAAGTTGAGGAAAAGAAACTGTAGCATAAAGCCTCCACCGAAAAATAGATAAAAGCTCTGGATGAGGTTCTGTTGTAGGAAAGGGACTGCAGCGAGGATGCTCTGTAACAGGATATGGTCATTTGCAGAGCAGATTGCTGACATATAAGATTTTCGGTGGCAGAGAAAAAAGACTACAACCTACAGCAAGAGAACCCGCTGTCGTTGGTTTTGTTGAACAGGATATTTCAAGCGAAGAAGTCTGTAGAGAGAGTTCTGGTGCCAGAGAAAACACATAGAAGGACCTACATGGTGATTTCCGACAACATGGAAGAAACCAACGAAGAAGGGTATGCAGGTTGGCTGTCGGGATTCCATTCAAAGATACACCCAGTCTCACCTCTACAATAGGCTTTTTCAAGTCATTTTGCAAGCAAACCATTGATGAACTTCTATGTGACAAGCTTTCCTACATTTCCACAATCAACACATGTGAAATGACAAAAAACGCCACATAGGCGGTTGCAGTCTCAACTTCCTACAGAAAGAAATGGCAGTTGAAACCAGCAGGGGGCAAAAAATAACAAAAATAGCACCTCCCCTCTGTCCATTTTTGTTGCGAAGACATATACGGGATAAAAACTTCTCCTCTTCGGTTGGGAGTGCCACTCGAGAAAGAAAATCACGCTCTCCGAACATCGGTGGCGGCCCTCCAATTGGGAATTTCAAAAGAGAGAGAGAATGAACAAATCACACCCAGAAAATTTTACTGACAGAGATATCTGCAAGAGAAAGGGTGACTAGAAACGCAGCACCCCCTGACGCATGCGCGGGGAAGGAAAATACTGTAGGAGAAAGGGTCTGCGACGAATCAAGCTGCAAGACCCAACGCTGGATTTTTGTGGCAGAACAATAGGAAACGACAAAAAGCGGTGCTGGATTTCAGAGAAAAAACATTGTTGTTTTCTGCAACTGGGAAGAACAGCATTAGAAAAATGTTTTGTTTTCGGGTAAGAACAACGGGAAGGTCCTGCGGCTGGGAGAGTCAGCAAAGAAGCCATCGATACACAGCTCATCAGAGAAGAGTTGCCATTGAGAACGAGAATCGGTCGACAGAGGTCCGGCAGAAGTCTTGCCGGAAAAGGCAGCCGATGAGAGGGCGGCAATAATCCACAGTTGGTTGCCCAAGCAATATACCCTCAACGAGGATCTCAAGCACGTCGTCACTCTAGAAGCGCTCCAGTCTAGCGACAAGAAGGTCCAAGACTGGAATCTCGGGATTGACTCTTTAGCGAAGAGAGGTTCGACGGCTGAAACTACCTGTCGGAAGGATCAGTGGCAGAAACCTTTAGATAACCGGTAGGGAAGAGGGGAACCAACGGCATTTAGGATGAAAAACGACGACAACTAGGGGAATCGTTGGCTATACATCTATACGACAGATATGTAATAGTTCTTTATGGGGGAAAAAACTTGTTGGGCAACCAATAGCAGAAAATTCTCCCCATAACAGATCTCTATGGGAGGAAAAAATAGTAAGAAGAAAATCTGCTACTTGCTTTCTGGAGAGTCGAAGCTCCCGGTTCGGAAAGGGTCAGCCAACAGACCAAGCTTGCAAGGAGAGAAGAAGAAAAATCGTTGTTTCAAATACCAAGACAAGTGTCCCTCCCTTCCCGCACAGAGCATCGTAGGAAGGGATTCTAACGGTTCTCGAAGAAGAACAGATAGCTAAAGTACGAAATTAAATTCTAATGTCATGTTGAAATTCAGAATAATGCAGAATATTTTTATTGATATGAAAAAAAGTATATATAACCCTTACATGGATTCTAGAATAGGAAATACAATAAAAAACAAAAAACAAAAAAAAAAGATATAACACCTAATACCTCCAATTAATCAATCCATATTAATTATTTAGAGATAAAGGAAACAACATAAAATAGGAAAGTCTAAAATAAGAACGGAAATAAATTTAATCCAAGAAAATAAATCTAAAATAGAAAAGAAAATAAAATTATATTTAAAAACAAAAAAAATACTCATAGCTGCTAATAGGAACAATTTTTTCCTAATATAACTTCTAAAAATAATAATTTTGGCCATCCTACAAAAAGCATTTTAGGCAATTAAATTTGTAAAATCAAGTAATCCTGATTATACATATCTTGCAAAGCAACAAAATATACTTTAGATTTTTTAAAATCATAATAAAATTATTATATAAATTTAAAATTTTAACATCTTATAAAAAAAAATAGCTCATAAATTTCATTACATTAAAATTAAAGTAAGATTAGTAATGAATTAAATTTACTAAAAAAAACAAATATATATATATATAAACTCCAAAATACTCCTATTTTTACCGACCTAAATATTAATTTTTGTTAGTTTTAATTGTGGAACTTTTCAACGACTATTAAAAGAGTTAGGGATCATTTTGACACTTTTTCAAAGTCTATGACTCAAATGGTCAGTTGCAAATAATTGAGTGATTATTTTTGGCACTTTTCTCAAATAATAACAATAACTTACACCTTTATATCATCAAAACTATATGTAGGTTGCAAAGCAAGCACCACAGCATATGACATACATTTGGTAATGCCGTGTTATGCATGTTGTGTCATTCAATGTTATATAACATAGAGGAGCCACTAACTTGACAAAGACAATCACCACCATGCTCACAACGCAATGGAGAGGGAGTACCTGTGGGCCAAAGGCATACTATTTTGTGCATTTTCCACGCAAAAAATTTAAGGCATTGGAGGTGTATGAAAAGAAATATAGACTACTTCATTTTGACAAAGCGCAGCTACGTAATATTTATGGCTAATCCACAAGATCAATGACAGATTATGGATATGTTTAGGCAAGATATTGGGCAACGCTCTACTTAATAGTTAGTTCCATACTCGAAGCAACAAATTATCAATTAAATGAATGCTCAGGCAAATAAATAATAAAAGTGCAAAATGTTCAAGCCACTTAAGAGAAAGCTCAGTCAATAAAAGTTAGCTTCAACATAATGTTGTAAAATAATTAATAGAGAAAAATGTCAAAATAGTCCCCTAACTCTTTTTGAGAGGTCATTTTAGTTCTGGTCTATAAAGTGTCAATTAAATCCCCAATTTATTTTCGTATAGCTGAACTAGTCCCCATGGACGACTATTTCAATACCAATGTAAAGAGTATGAGTATTAATTTGGCCCTTTTTTAGACTTTGGAACTAAAATGACATCTTCCAAAGAGTCAGTGGATTATTTTGACACTTACAATTAAAATGTACCTGAACAAGCTCATCTTTTGGTTGAGCGCACCTTGGGACTTGTTCCTTCATAAAAATTTTGATATTAGCTCCTGTCATTCGCCTCATTTCAGCAATAATGGATCCACCTTTGCCAAGCAAACAACCAATCTGCTGTGCAGGCACAAGAAGCCTGGCAGAAACTAATCCTTTGTCCGTGAATGCCTCTGCAAGCCTGGAATGAACACGGAGGACAGCATCTTGCGCTGGGGAGTGCTTCAACTCATAACTCTGAACAAAACAGAACCAGGTAAGAATTGGGGCATTGGAAGAATCATAATCAAAACAAAAAGTATATGTACTACCTTCTGATATTATAGCAAACTTCACAGTTGGTAAAAAATGTAGTTAAAAACACACCTCGTGTGCAGAGATCAAAATAATTCTATCATCAGAATCACCAACAGCATCAATGACTTTTATCGCTGCTCCAGTTTCATTTTGCAGAGATCGCACGATAGCGCCAGATTTGCCAATAACGCTGCCAACTTTATCATTTGTGCATAACAATCTAAAAGAAATCTCTTCTTCAGGAAGCTTCCTCAGACCAGATAAATTATTATCCAGGGTTGGGTTAGATGAATAAGCCTTGTGTTGATAATCAAAGCCATGCGGACTGACCAAGTAACCTCTTTGAGGAAATGAGTCTAATGGTGCATGAGGGATAGGTCCTTGCAAGCTCCCGGTATACGGTTTGGGGGTTGAAAATGTAGTTGCATCTGCCCTGATGTTATCCTGCAGACAACTAGAAACAGCTAGAAGTGCTTTCTTCACAGCAAGGAAACTCCCAGATATCTGCCAGATCAAATAAGCCCGAACAGAAAGGATTTATTCAGCCGAATACCAACAAAGAAAGCTGCATTTTCTGCGCACTTTCTACCCCAGAGCTTTAACTTTTAAACACTTAACAGGTCTATATTGAATTTATTACTATTTTAAAATAAAAGCAACAATAAAAATATTAAATTTGGCGATTGTGTAATGATAAAAATATAGTGCTTTCCTCCATAGAATAAAGTTTTTAAATTGGGCAATTTGAAATCGGTTACAACCTCTTCATTCCAAAAATGAACATTTTGTCCTAATTTAGCAAGTTTCAAAAGTTCATGCTTTCACTAGAATTCAGCTAAGACTCCACGGAATTTCAACCAAAATAAAAGAATAAATAAACAGACACCAACATTAAAAGTCCTCTTATAGGTCTAGAATTATGAATTAAGAAAAAAAAATCACAAATGGTTAAAATCAACTGTTTTTAACAAAACTCCACATCAAATTATCATCGATGTGAATGATTTAACGCCATAAACGTAACATGCATGCCTCTACTAACGAGTTAACAAGCATGCCTCTATTTCTTATATTAAATATAAACTTCTAACAATTTCTATTTTGTAACATCGAAACAATTCAATCAGTATTTTACCAATAAATTGTAATTTGAATATTATATTTCTAAATTAAATTTTAGTTTAAATAAAAAGTCATCAAATTTGTCGAAACCACCTAAAACTTCGACTTTTATATCGGCGTGAAAACTCAAATAAATGAAAAAGCGTAGCATAACAGGTGTTCAGAGCCGTGTAAGCTGCCGCACACTCAGGCGCATGTAAAGGGAGGCACAAGCCCAGCAATTCCCACATGGAAATTTGAATTAAATAAATTCATTCATGCCCATAAAATCAACTATTTTATATCTCCCGCCTCGTTTTTTGAAGCTACGACCAAAAACCAGATCACTAGATTGAAAGTTTACAACAGCACTTCACTGTATCGATCTCTGCGTTTAAAGAATGTTTTCTAGAGCCAAAGCTTGTAGACTACTTCAGGGATGATTGGCTGACTTACCTGAATCAGTTCATCTCCCGCAACGGCGCAAGGCGGCACCGATTCCATGGGAAAAACCCTAATCTTCGCACCGCTCTCCAGGCGGATTTTCTCCACAATCTTACCCCCTTTACCAAGCACACACCCCACATGGCTACCTGGAGCCAGCAGCCGACAAGAAGCCGTTCCTTGGAGCTCCTTGTCCCCACCTTCACCTTCCTCTCCCCTCAATATCAGTTCAAAAACCTTAACAAGCGCCTGCTGAGCTGGCGATGCCTCTTCTTCACTGTCTGCGACTCCCCCTTCCCTCCTCCGGCGCAGAATAGCGTCCGCAACAACGCGGACGACGCGGTCATCGGATCCAAGAACGGGATCCTCAATTTGGACCCAAGTACCGGTATCCTTCTGGATCTGCCGGATAACAGCACCCCCCTTGCCAACCACGCTTCCGATTTTGTCCGATGGGCAGAGCAGGCGGAAGACGGTCTCGCAGGCGGCACCAGGCATCGAAGGCGGGCCGGAGGGCCCGTGGCGGCGCGTCGAGTCGGCCGTGTTGGAAGAATTGGGGGAGACATATGTAGGCTCTGCGCCGCCGGAGGAAGGCGATGAATCGTCGGGGCGCATGCCCGCGCCGGTGGAGGAGCCTTCCATGCCACCTCACTCTCACTCCCCACATCAATTTAACTTTATATGCCTCCTCCAGCATAATATTGACCAATAATCCCAGCTTATTTTTTAATTAAAAAAATATGTTCAGAAATGAACAGAAATATATCATCAATAAGTTGTAAATAAAATAATGAATCTTAAATGGTGTGTATATTGGACATCAAAGATCATTCTTTTTTTATCAATACAGACGCCCTGCATATTTCATGGGCTTAATAACCTCATCAACTCAGAACATACAACAGCCATTGGAAGGATCTGTTGATGTGGTCTACTAACTTTACTCGTCATTGTGTCGGTTGTTTTGTAACGACTGTCGAACTAACCAGCGGATTGACTTCACAGACTCGTTTGGCATATTGATCAATAAGATCATAATGAAAAGGTCACTGCTGGCATCAATGATTAACATATGTTACATCTTTATTTATGAGTTGCTTGACATCCATGTCACAATCTTGGCCTTGGATAATGTGGGCAAACTTTGGACTTTTGACATATTTTAATATTTACTTCAACATTTAGAATGGGAGAAGAATCGATCAACACGTGGGAGGGGAGATGCTTTTTTTTTTTAGAGGAGTGACGTTGTAACTCTCTCTTTTTTTTTTTTTTCCTCGCTAATTATTTCTAGATTTATATATCACCTCCTTTGCTCTTCCCGGGAAAGGATCGTCATAAAAGCATATAGTTCAAGCCTAAAGAGCAAGCCAATTCTCTCTTTTCGCCCTCCTTGCAGTTTGTATCAAATCATGAACAATATGGGATGCAATGTCTTAAAATGATTCAATATTCTAAAAGATGTGGTAAGCATGAAAACTTAGTAAGGAAACCTCTAACAAGAGAAAAAAATAAGGAACACGTGGATTGTACTAGAGAGTTCATGGAGGAACAAATGAATGAGTTAAGGAAGCAAATGATGATGGCTCAAGAAATATGAGAATAAGTTTTCAAATCTCGATCCAAAGCTGAATCTTCAGGATCGCTAATGCATAGACGAGAAGTGCCTAGGCAAGTGTCTTTATCCTCCAAGAGCATGACCTATAGAAGCTCTTGAGCTAAGGTTAAAAGGAGAAGAAAGTGATTAACCTTGCGTCCCAGATGAGGAATCATTTGAATCTTGAGAAGAAGGAGCCAAGAGATGGAGAAATAGTCGAAGACCATTAGATAACACATTTTTAAAGGATATTGCAAACGACAAAGCACCGAGGAAGTTTATGATTTCATTCTTGAAACCTTATAAGGGAATAGCATATTCATTTAATCATGTGGCGTCTTTTGAATAGGTGGTATGCTTAATTTGAGTGGCTGATGTATTTAAATATCATTTATTCTTCATGGCCTTGAAGGAACAGGACATGAGGAAGTTTGCGAGCACACTTAAGCCAGAAAAAAGCACCTAGGCCCACTTGGATATTCGTCAAGCGCCTTTATAGAGCTTGAGGAGCTTCATTATTCGCAATTAATGAGAGATGTTGAAAGTTCGAGATTTTGATTCTGTTGTTTCTCATGTAGCACCAACCTATAGTTTGAGTGAAATGCCACTCAAATACACACTTGGCTTGTAGAAGCCGATGACCCTAGCCAAGCTTTCGAAGTTAGCTAATAATCATATCTCAGTTGAGGAATATAAATCACTGACAAGTCCATCTAAGCCTGGGGAGTTGGAGGAAAGATTCTAAAGACAACCTCACATAAATCACAAAAGTTGTCATTTCGATCGAAGGAATTCTCAAAATGGTCATGAGAGACAATTTCGGTCACAATAATCTCCCAATAAAGATTTGGTCAGGAGAAGACATAAGAATTTGCTAGAATCACCTTAGCTTCCTCCAACAAAAGTGACATCATTGAGAGTGTCAGTGGTCAAAATAGTGGAAATCATCTAGAATGATATTTATTACAAAAAACATCTCTTGTTGGAAGCATCAAGCCATCAATGCAATCCTAATATATATCGGGCATATCATTAGAATCACAATCACGTCATAAAAGAGTACTAAAACCTCAGTGACATCGTCAAATAGTTGATTTGAGCATGAAAGCTAGAAGAATTTGTGGCTTCCGAAGCAAATGCACGTAGGAAGTGGAAGGCACCTGGCAAAGATGATCATTGTCATGATGGTGTGAAAGGCGAACCACTAGTGAAAGATGTGTATCAACTTCATCAACCTCAACATGGCTCACCAAAAACATACTCATCCACTATACAACAGTGGGGCATTCAATCATGGACTTCTTAACACATTTTTAGGCTACCATCAAATCAAGATACACACATCAATGTAGAAAAAATTTTCGTTAGTGCCAAAGAAAAAAAATACATTTATAATGTAATGTATATTGGCTTCAAAAATGCCCATGTAACCAATGAAATGTTGCTAGATATAACTTATAGAGTAGAAAAGGAAAATTAAAATCTATATCGATAATCTTTTGGTGAAAGGCTAAGTTGGTCGAATAGCACATGCAAGATTTGGAGGATATTTTCACTGCTTTAAGAAACTTTAACCTCAAACACAATCATTTAAATTATACTTTTGGAGTTAACTCAAGAAAATCCATAGGTATTTGCTCGCACCTGAAGAGATAAAGCAAAATCTGAGAAGTTTTGAGCCATATAGAACATGTCATCCCCAAAGAACCTCAAGAAAATGTATATTTTGACTGAATGAATCACAGGCCTTAATAGATTTATATTGAAATATAGAGATGGAAGCTCCCCATCCTTCAAAACTTCGAAGAATTTAAAGTATTTCTCTTGAACCGATGAATGTGACCGAACATTCATGCATTTGAAAGCTCCATTATCACCGCATCCTCTGTTATAAACTCTTGAGTCAATAGATGACTTAGTCATTTATATGGTAATCAATAAAGTACAAGATAACGGAGGAACTCATATTAATACTGATCATTTCAGTAAAAAAATATGCGCCCTTACTTCAAAACCCACGCTATACACGTCACAACTTACCATCTATTAAAATCGACATTAACAAAGCTCAATCACTTGGGGAGGTTTCTTAAATAATATGTTGAGTTGAGCAAATTTGATATCTCATATATGCTTAGAATTACGATTAAAGCTCATGTGGTCGCTAACTTTTTTGAAGAATCGGTGAGAGAAGGAGTTGATGTTGATAAAGATAACTCTGGAAACTTTACGTGGGCCTAGCATTTGAAAATCACATAAAATGAGCAGAGGTGGTTCTACAAAGTCCCTTAGGATTCATATTTTATCATTCCATTTAGAATATTTTTTTATACAACTAATAATCAAACAGGGTATAAAGTTAGAGTTGACATGCTTAGATTCATGCTGGGGATTAGAGTAACGTACCTGGTTGTTAAATTTGATTCCCAAATAGTGTTCAATCAAATTAATAAATTATTTGAAATGTAAGATAACATAATACATAGATTCTTAATAAAAGCCAAAGCTAAGCAAACTTGAATACTTTTAGATTGAGCGAATCCCAGGGGAAGAAAATCAATTCACCAACCTCCTTTCTAAGTGAGAAAGCATTGAGAATATATGATTAATAACTCTAGACCAACCCTCGATGGAAGAAGACAAAATCATGTTTTGTTGAGTAAGAGTATGTTGCAATCTAGATCGGCTCAATCAAAGGATAATCATCCACGAGAATCATCTAGGTATAAGGAAAATTACCCTAAAAATTTAAAATTAAATCTATGAATTGTGTAATCATTAATGACGAGTTGTTCAAAAAGTCTTTGATGTTCATTTCACTCAAATGTGAATAGAAAATGAGACAACCAAGGTATTGAAAGAAGTTCATCTAAAGAATGTTGTAGCCACTCCAGAGAAAGAACCATGACAAATAGGATACTGAGGCATAGTTACTACTAGTCGACATTAAAGAAAATTGCTGAAGAATTGTCCAAATGATTCAATATTGTCAAATATTTGCTAGTTGCAACATTTCCATAAGTTACACCTAATAAACAATCTTTGGTCTTTCTCAGCAATAGATCTCCCTATATTATTTCTTTCTAAAAAGGGACAACAAAAAGAAATCACAGTAACAGTTGACTAGTTCTCAGACATTTCCTCGGTCATGCTAATAGATGACAAAAGGACATCTCATCATAGAAAGTAAAAGTGTGGATTTTAAAGTCTTTAATATTTTAATCCTAACATTTTTATTATCTTGAATATTATATTAGGGTTTTGCAACAAATTTGGAATTTTAAATTCTAAGGAGCCTATATTGCATTCATGATTCTCAGACAAAACATATAAAGCAACAGTGAAATTCATTTTATGCATTCAAGCATGCAATAAAGCAGGAAAACAACTAAATCAAAATAATAGGAGGCAGATGCCACTGGGTCGAAAACATATCCCAGAATATACATGTTGAGTCCTAAATCTATACATCAATATCAAATGTAGAATTAAGATGCAGGACATGATATGTTGTTATCGGTTTCCAATCATGTTGTTCCCACGCCAAAATGCATTGGAATTCATGTCTATATCTTATTTCCGATACAGAATTCTCTTAAGAACTCTAAAAAGTACATAAAAAGTAGAAGAAAAAAAAGACTTAATCTATACAAAGATAAATTTAGCGGGAAAGCCAACAAGCATGTAACGTATAATGAGCCATGCCTTTTATTGGGGGAACTAAATAACACAAACAAGTAAATGATTAGTAGAAATTATCACATACTCCCCCTTTCAATAGTGCCTGTGTGTGAGCACATATATAGGCATCACTTCCTGCATAAGTATGCTCTAATATAGGATCATGCATATCAAACGTACAAGCACACCAAAAAACACAAAAGTGACACTTGACTAACACAAGCACATCAACAAAGAACAATAGTCAGAGCCATCAAAAAGACCACATAGCATCCTAAATTCAAGCCCTAACTAACATCTAAATGCACATGGTAAAGTCTCTGGCTACCGTACGACTTTGAATACGTCGTCACACCGGCCTCGTCTTAAGGATCTAAGGGATATAAATCGTGTCACAA